TAAAGAATAACAAAATTGAATTCAGCTGTCCAGCTTCACTAATTGCATGTATACAGAAGCATTTACATAATCTGTAAGCCAGGAAGAACAAACAAAATTATAGTGAAGCGAAATGCCTAGAAGGGAGATGTTTTTAAAAAATGCATAGCCTGCTTAGGCCTACCAAAGGAGTTCTTACAGAATACGATGGTTGTGATGGCCAGTCTGATACCCTAGTTGAAATACAATTCCCTGTTTTACAGCAAATCAAGAAGGACCTGAAGAAATATTCCAAGATATTTGAGCAGAAGGATCGCCTGAGCCAGTCCAAAGCTTCAAAGGCAAGACACTTTTGGAATATAATAATGTAGATGAAACTCTTGTAACCTGTCCTTAGTTATTTTGTAATGATGATATTTAAGTTACATTTCTTTTATAACATACATCTGTGTTCATTTGAATCCAGTTGGTTTGAGTTAGTTCCAATAGGTAGTTCAGAGAGATGCTACTAAACTGTCAGGTTAAACAGTAGTGAATCTGGAGAGGCACTGGTATTACCTCATTAAGCAAAGGTGGTAAAATTTTTGGGTTCTAAGTGAGTTGCTGCACTAGCCAGTATTTAAATTAAGAAAAGCTCCTTAAATTAAAAGAAACTCACCAAAACAGCTTTTTGATTATCTAAGAGAAAGATCTTTTTTCTTTTAAGTCAGTAGAAAGTATGTTGATGAGAAAATAAATTGACTTGCAAACAAATGCATTGCATGTGGATTTGATTAACTGGGGAGGTTTAACGACCTCTTCCTGCCTCCGTAGGAGCTAGTGGAAAGGAGACGTACAATGATGGAAGAGTTCAGAAAGTACCGCAAGATGGCACAAGAGTTGTACATGGAGCAGAGGAATGAACGTTTAGAGCTTCGAGGAGGTAAGCCACACATAGTACTTGTAAAGACTTGCTAGGTAACTGCTGTTTCTTGCCAAATAACTACCCTGTTCTGGGGCTTCAATCACTTCTCTCCCTCCATTTCCTGGAGCCAAAGCTAGTCCCTTGTTCTCTGAAGGTTATTTATGCTTTTTGTCCTGAATTGCAACAGGTGGCTTTTTTTTTTTTTAACGGGAGAGAGCTCAAATATTGCTGCCTGCCAGATTTTGGTATCTGTGTTTTACCTCACCTCTTCATGCTTTAAGGCAAGTGTTGGCTTGACCTTGGGATTAGATTGTGAAGATATTTGAGTGTTGTGTTTAACCAGAAAATCCACAAAAGCCCAGAGGTGGGAGACAGTAATGCCTTGGTTGTCATTTAATGAATTTAGCATGTACTTGTTATGATGTAAAGCACTAAATAGCTCTTATTTCACTGCTGGTTTAAGAACTGTTTCTGCCAAGAGCATCAAATCCTTCCATTACTGCCTTGTTTGATGCATTCAGCGTTCATGCTTTCTCCATTTCAGGGGTAGACACAGATGAGCTGGACAGCAATGTCGATGACTGGGAGGAGGAGACTGTTGAATTTTTTATCAATGAAGAAATTATTACCCTTGCAGAACCAGAGTAATTAATAAAACTGTGGTAAGATAGTATACCTCTCAGAAGAGAGGAACTTTTTCTGTCAGCTATTGCTATAGATTCAATAATTTGCTTGAGAAAGTGAGGTCAGTCTGTTGCATGAGTGAATGTGGTGGTCTCTGAGTTAGTTTATGTTTTCTCTGTGGCTAGAGGGGCCAAAAGCTGTTTTTTTTAAAGCAATCACAGAAGAAAGAGGGAGAGAAGCTGCTTAGTGTATGGATTTAAACAAACGTCAGTTTAAGAACAGGTGAAACAGGCTACATAATAGCCTTTCACCAGCCAGCATCTGTGGTGAGGTTGAGCTGTTGGTATAAAACAATAATAACTAACTTGCCTCTTTTTTCTTTTTTTGCAGCACCACCATATCTTGTGCCGAAAAGAAGTTTGTTCATTTTCAGAAAGCCTACGTCAATTTTGGAATTTTTAATCCATATTCTTGCACTCTGGAAGGGTGGATGCACCAGATTTTCTCCATTCTGACACATCGTAGTGCCTTTAAGTCTTGCTGCCTGCTGCAGTGAGATACTGGAAAGGCGCTGCTTTTAAATTTTTATTCTTTTTTTTAGGGTTTGGTTTTGGTTTTTTTTTTTTTCTTTTTAAATCCACTACTACCAGTATTTACTTCCTGAATCCCGTGCAGTACTTACCAACTGGCAGTTTTTGACTATTGCCAGTGAGGTGAGATTCATCAGCCTCTGTCTTAGACACACGCACGATGTTTCTGTTTCAGGACTTTTTCTGTGTCCCGACTGCATGGACAGGTGTTCATTTTGTTTGGGGAAAAGTCAACAGAACCATTTTTCGTATGATGTGTTTTAGTGTGCTGAAGCAGCACTACAGTGGGCTATATCCTCCTCCTTTCAGATTGTGAAAGGACGTCTCCCTCAGAGCTGAATATGGAAATAAAAGCAGACCTATACTAAAACCGGGCTGGCTACGCGTTGTTTGTAGGGAATCTTTCCCTGAATGATGAAAGTCAAACATACCCTCAGTACTAAGAGTGCGTTTGCTATATTGACTATATGGTTCCTTTGGATTTTGTTAAATCTCTTTCCTTATGGATCCCTTCCAACTTGCTATTCTATGATTCTGTGGCTCTTCTGGTTTTGTGTTGCGGTTTGTTTGTCTTTTACAGTGATGGTACGGCTCACTAATTAGACAAGTTGACCTGTTCACTATACTGGAGTGACTAGAAAATGAGTCGATTTCTTAAACCATTTGCAGACTAACACTAGGCTCAGGAATTACTGGAGTAGTCTAAGTCTTATTAGTGAACACTGCAAACTTTCAGAGAAGTGGTCTGTATACACATGCCTTATGCTCTCCGTTACGGTACCTAGTGACAGGACAAGGGGTAATGGTTTTAAACTAAACCAAGGTAGGTTTAGACTAGATATAAGGAAGAAATTCTTTACAGTGAGGGTGGTGAAACACTGGAACAGCTTGCCCAGAGAGGTAGTGGAGGCCCCATCCCTGGAAGCATTGAAGGCCAGGTTGGACGGGGCTCTGAGCAACCTGATCTGGTTAGCGGTGCCCCTGCTCCTGCAGGGGGGTTGGACTAGATGACCTCTAGGGGTCCCTTCCAACCCAAAACATTCTATGATTCTAGTTTCATTCCTAAAGCCCTCTGTGCTCAGAGGGGAAAAGTGTACTTAAAGCTGGTGGAGCAGCTCCTCTGTATTCGTATTTATGAGTAGAAATGGTTTTCTGGATATTGTCAGAGCAGTGAGAGAGATTGCCCAGCTGCTTGCCCTTTAGAGGAACAGAGGAGAATGAGGATGGTCCTGTCTCCTCGCTAGTGTGAGCCCTCTTGACTGGCTCGTTTTAAACCCTGAGCTCACTTGCATGGCAATGTCTGACAGATCTGAAGTGGAGAGCAGAAAGTACCCTTCAGGCAAAGGGTAGCCCCACTCAGCTGGAGGCAGCCAAGGGACAGTAATATGTTTAGCACTTGCTTTTCTTTGTCCTTAGGTGAACTTGCTGGGATAGCAAATGCACGAACCACTCAATTAACTCCCATGTTCTCTTCACCAGGAAGACTCTTCGAAGTAATTGTTCCATAATGGTGGTATTGATTTAGTTTGAATAGTTCCCTCTTAAACCAGCGGGTGTCTTTTTTTTCCAGGAGTCTATATTAGTTTCCAGCTTTCTGCCTTTGTTCATTCATAATCCATCTATACAGATACGTGGATGATTAAAGTTTTGTCCACAGTATTTACCAAGCTCCTCTCTCAGCTGGACTGGAAAAAAATACTTTCTAGCAAAACAGTGCAGAAGAACTTCTAGCACATCAAAATTCTCCAGTAATGGCTTGAACTTTTCTAGCAGGAATAATTTTAATTACCCTTCAGTTGTGAAGAGCTGACTCCTCAACCATTTTCTAAGTTACGAATTGAGTTGAAAGGCTTTTTTTTTTTCCCCCCGTTTCCATGTAATGAAATTCTAATAGGCTACTGTGTTTTATTCCTGGCCATTTTCAAAGTAAAGAAATGTAATGATGATGTAAAATGAATCAAGTTTTTCTTCTAAGATGCTTCTCTGAAGTGTGGATCATCAGTGAGGAGAGAAAAAAAAACAAACCAAAAAAACCACCTCAGACTTGATGCTGCTGTAGGAGCTTTGAAGCTGACAACGTCCTGACCAGCAGTCAAGGCCTCTTCTCATCTGTTACGCTGGCGTTTCTGACGCTGCTCCCTTCAATGATTGTGTCTTTTCTGTAGTGTTTCTTACTTCAAATGCTTTTTGCAAATTATGTGCTACTGAAGTTGCTTTATGGGTATCTGTTTGGTAAACTAGTCTGTGGCATATCCCTGAATAACGCGAGGAGTTGTAGTAAGGAGGAAGGATCTTGTTGGATTGAATCCATGTTGATTTGCAGCTTCAAGTACTCTGTGCCACCGGTTTTCAGCCTGTGGCCCTTTATAGGAGCATCTGAAGGATGGTCAGAGCAGATGCAGGTTTATGGGCACTGTCACAACAGGTATGGATGGGGAAAAAGGCTTCCAACAGCAGTTGTGCCTCCACCGAATGCCTTCAAGGGTCCACAATTTGGGGGGCAGAGAGGGGGCCCGGGAAGGGAAACAAACCTTGAGCATTAAGTAGGCTAGTATCTCTCATTGTGTTTGTTAAAGTATTGTCTTAAGTATTTTTAATGATTGTTCTTAAATAGCAAAATTAACTGGAAAAATTCATATAATCGTGGGCTAGTCTTCACTTTCACAGTCTTTGTTTTGAATTTGTAATAAATATTTTCATGGCCTTTTAAACATCTACAGTCCTTAATGCAAACTTCATAGAGCAAGTTTTGTTCACTTGCTATACTAAGTTTTAATTTCTTAAATTCTAGTATTTTTTAATACAGCCTTACTGTAACTTTTATGAGCTTTGACTCATTTACTGTCAATAAATAATGAAGACAAAAGGTGATCTTGTGGGGTTTTTTAATAGGTTGTGGTAATGAATGGACTGACACTAAAAATGCTGAAGGATTGCCTTCCTGAACATAGGAGTCATGAAATGCCACCGTGTGTGAAGTGCCGACACAATGTGAGTTTGCTCTTGGCTCGGGGAGGCAGCAAAGTGTTTCCTGATGGTCTCAATGGCTGCTGTCAGTTCTTGTGCAGGACTGAAGGGACCAGGGTGCTTTGTGCTCAGCTTTTGGTGGAGCTGTGGGCCTCTACCTGCTTGTGCTGCTTGTTGGATCCTAGGGGAAGGAGAGATCCGGAATCCTAGAGGGCAGAAAATGAAGGCTGTGGCCAGCTCGCCAAGAGTGTGTGCAGATGGATTTGCATGTAAAGAATTAATTTGGGCTTGCAGGTGGGTCACTTCGCTTATCCTGACCCCTTTCACCATGTCCCGCGCAGGGAGCTGCTGCAGCCCCTTCCTGCCGGGGGGGCTCAGAATGTCACTGCTGCCTCTCCTGCTGTCCCTGCAGTCACCTCCTCCCTGGGGGAGCGCAGATGTTGCCTCTCTCTCTCCCTTCCCTGGGGTGATTGCTGCTGCTGCCTCTCTGAACCATTCAGTCTCCTGCTTGTGCAGGCTCCTGGAGGGCTCTAACTCCATGCGCACCTCCCCGGGCAAATCACCCAGCCCTGAGCTGGCATCATCTCGCAGCTCGGCCATGAAGGAGCAGCAGCTTATGGTGAGTCCTGCTTGCTCAGGGGAGGACACAGGATAGGGAGGAGCAGCTGGGTTGTACCCAGCCCCAGCATCTTTCCTATTGTGTTTGCCGGCTGTTTTCTGGTGTTCCTGGCATCTCTGGCCCAGCCGGAGGGAAAAACCCAGACTTGCTCTATTTGGGCAAAGCTCTGTGTGATTTAAAGCTAAAGTTAAGTGTAAGTATCCTGCAGAGGAGAAAACTGCATAGTAGGGGAGGTGAGGCTGGGTAACCTGGCAGGTGGTGGTGGTTAGTCCTCCTTGAACAGTGGTTTTCAGTGCGCCCATCGCTTTGGGGTCTGTTTGAGCAACGGATTTATAAGCAGCTAAAAGCAGCTGGGATTATAGTCCTGTCTGAGTCTGCACCATTGCTCCAGGACCTCAGCATCTCTCTGTATTGATCAGAGTAAGAGGAGTGCTTTGAAAATGGAATCCTTTCCCAAGTTTCAACCTTCAGCCCTGTGGCTCTGTTGAACTGAAGCATTGCCCTCAAATTGTGCTGAAACACAGCTGAGGCAGACACAGAAACCCCTGGTCAAAGTGGAATCGCTTAAAATAAAGTCAATAATATCTAGAATACCTTGCATTCCTCTCCAATGCAAGAAAAAGCCTTAGTACTTTGTGTGACCCATCTCCACATGCTGCTTATTTGGGTTTGTTTTCTTACCCTCAGTGGCTAGGGCTACCAAATACAGTGATTAAACGGATTATTCTGGAGGTTAAGGCTGTCCAAGAGAGACTTCCACTATCCACTTCTCATCCTGCAGGACTTGAGATTGTGGTGTGCAAGATAATATTTTCCAAATGCCTCTAAGATGAGTTCAGCCCATGGGAATGAGATGCTCATAACTGTCACTCAGACGTGCTCAGGCAGATGATGAAGCCGAGTTAACTTGTTGCATTCTTGTGAACGTTGTCCAAAGCCAAGGAGATCACCTTGTACTCCGAGATATTCACCGTGAAGAAATGTTCCTTCGCTGTTGCTGGAACTACTCAAAAATGTCTACTACAGTGCTTGAGACTGGGGGCTGTGCCATTAAATTGGCAGGTAGCTTGACTTGTTATTGTGGAAATAAATCTGGTTCCTATAGAAACTGGTTGCTTGTGACTGGTGGGACCGTAGAAGAAGCCTGTTTCGATAATTGCACACCCTCCTGATGAGGCACCATTTATGTCCATTATGCAGTGTTTCATCAGCATCAGCTCTCCTGTCAGGAGCTGCTAAGGGGATGCTGCTGTATTTGATGAAAGGGAAAACAGCAATGGAAAGGTGAAAATAGAATTTTTCAAATCTCTGTTATCAGCTGAGATGCCAAGGGCAGCTTTTAGGTTGGATTTCGAATCGATGGTCTTCCCTGGAGACCTTCCACCAGGCACACAGGTTTGGGATCTGGGATTCTGCAACTCGCCCACGGCTGCAGAGTGAGTCAGGGCCACAGCAGGACCCCAGCTTCAGGGGGCCCAATTAACCCCACAACTGATCCATGGCACCACATTTTCTCTATTGCTTCCCCTATAGATGAAACAGGCCGAAATAGAGGTGCTCTTGTGTATTATTAATACTGACGGATACAGCCAGCGTGGTTTAAATCCTTGAGTCAAATTGTCGTTTGTGTTTCAAAATGGAGAACCATGTTTCTGATGGGTTGAGTTGTGGCACAAGGCTCTAGCAGTTACTGGCTACTTTATAATCGCTTCCAGCTTTTGAGGAACCCCACCGGACCTGCACAGATCAGGGCCAACTTGCTCTGATCTGGTTGAACAGGCTTGTAATGATTGCTGCCTGGGATTAAACAAAATGGGTACTTAGTGAAATGCAATTCCCTTTCTTTGTCATGGATAACTTTAATCAGTGTTTTGGGAACACCAGGGGAATCTGTAAGCATGCTCAGCTCTGTGGCTGTTGGTACCACGGTCCCAGATCTCTGCAGGTTCCCGCTGGCAGCGGCAATGACACGGCTGAGTTCATTCTGCCGCCTTCTCTGTCAATCAGTTGGAGTCTTGCTGTGTTAGACAGAAACGGGGGAAGAGGGAGGAAGAATTTGTCAAGATAAAAGTGCAACTCATGGGAGAATTAACTGGTTTAAACTTTATGAACTTCCTTAAACTCTCCAGGCCCTAAGCTTAAGGTTTTCAGATTGAAGAGATGTAGCGAGAAGCTGTAGATATCGCTGGCGCTTGCACAGAGCGGAGCCCTGTGGCAGGTAAGTCTGGGTGGCCTCAGCGCACATCGGCCACGTCTGCGTGCTGTGTGTGCAGGTGGCCCTTCGCATCCGTCCCATCAACGAAGCAGAAGTGGAGGAGGGAGCTGCCCTCGCCGCCCGCAGCGTGGGTGAGCAGGTGAGCTGGGGGGAATTGTGCCGGGGCTGCAGGAGAGCCCCTGCCATGGGGACCAGGGAGTCTGCCAGGTGCCACACAGGCCACCACGAGGCTCTGGCTCTTCTGGTTCACACGCAAACACTTTCAAATCCTGCAGAACTCCTGGCCTTGCTGTGACACAGCTTCCCCTGCAAATGGCACTTCTTTTCTACAGTTGCATCTTTCACCTCTTGCTCCTCTTTTTAAGAGGGTTAGGTTAGGGATTGCAGGAGGTCCCCACTTACCTTTTCTACATTGCTGTATCTATTTACATATTTTTATTGTGCCCTTGTTATTTACCTCCTTTCCCAAAATAAATCCCATTATTTTCTATCGTGCTTCAGCTGATCTTTCTCTGAACCCTTCCTGAACACATGCTAATTCTGTAATACATCTTGTCTCCACGCAGTAGTCAAATGATAGCAGCCCTCAGAAGCAAAGAGAGCATGAATCTCTCATTCCTCTTCATAGTTTATCTTGCAAGTGCAATTTTTGTTTAGCACCTTGCTGGTGAAACATCCTTTTTTTTTTTTTTTTTTCTCTCTTTTCCCCTTTTCTTTGTTTAAAGCAGCCACTAACCTCACGAGGATATCAGCTTTATTTTTATACAGCTTATTCAGACTTGCATCATCTGCCCTGAGATCTATTTTCTCCAATGGAAATCTGAGAAGGAAATGCGCATTGCATTAGTCTGAGTTAACTTCTATCTGTGAGAATGAGTTTCTCTTAATATTGCAAATGACTGTAATTATGAAAGCAAATTAATTGACTGGACAGTTGAAGTACTTAGATTTCTTGGTGTATTTTGATTTACATCATGTTCCCTGCTATTTTTGCTCCCAGCCTAACTCATTTAGAGCTGCTTCTGCCCGCTTATTAATCCTAACTCAAAATTGACCCTGTTAGTGTCTTGTTATGTTTTAATGCTTCCGTACAATAGCAGAAGATTTATGCTTTTAGAATACTGCTAGTTAGACAAGTTGTTAGCCCCAGATTGGAAGAGAAGGAGACTTTTGGATGCATGGATAAACTGCAAGCAAAATGTGGATGTTGCAGTCACTCAGTGAAAGGGGCCTGAAAATGTTGCAGATGGAATTTCTCAAGGAAACATGCTGACCTCATTCTCCAAGCTCTGCTCTTGGCTGTCACACTTGCATGTGCCACATGACCGTCTGTCCGCCCATCTTTTGCAGGCAGATGCCACCACCAAGGATAAACCAGGAGTTCCCTTCCAAGTTTGTTCTTGTGTTGTTTTAGGTTTTAAGGCCTGAGTTGGACCAGCAAAAAGTAAAGAAATCCATTCTGGTAATCGACAACTTGCAGATCAAAACTAGAGATGCTCGTTAGAGACTTGGAATTTAGTAGGGAATGCAAAAGAAAAAGGAAAACCAAAGTCTTGATGTTTCCTGACCATCCATGGGCACTCATCCTAGATCCTTGTCTCTCTCCCATGCCTGGCACACCAATGCAGTTATTCTGTAGGTCAAGTGGCAGTTGATCCGTGTTCTAATTGCTTATCTAATGATCTGTTTACCTGATAGAGTGAAAACTGCTCTGGAGTAGGAGGCACAGGGTTCTCTGTCCCTTCCCCTGAGGCTTGAGCATCTCCTTATGAGTTGTTTCAGTGGAGGAGAAAGAATACCCTTCTCCACAGTAATTATATACTGTGATAATTATGTACTAAAATAGCTCCTAAGGGACTGAAAAGAAACAGAACCAGTGCTGTAACCTGCTGCAGCTCCTCTCCCACCTTTGTTTTTTCCTTAATAAAAGCCAGAAATGGAATGAAATCTCTGTCCTTGAGCAATGCAGATATTTCAGTCCTGTAGGAGAGGCTTTGGGAGATGACTGTGGGCACTTCTGCTCCCAAGGAGCTCAACTGTTTTCTTTCACAGCTCCTCTGTCTGAATCTTGTCTGAAAAATTGTGGTAAGAGGTCCTGTCCCCCTTCTGCTTGCATGGGGGTTCGTTGGGTGTCATGTCCCCGCAACCACTGCTGTTACCCAATGCCAGCAACTGTTTCGCTGCACAACGGACCTTCAAAGCATTTTGCAGCAGCTACTAGTTCTCCAAATTGAGGTGCTGCTAGAGCATGTCCAGAGAAGGGCAATGAGGTTGGTGAGGGGTCTGGAACCCAAGGCTGGTGGGGAGCGGCTGGGAGACCTAGGGGTGTTCAGCCTGGAGAAGAGGAGGCTGAGGGGAGACCTTATCACTCCCTACAACTGCCTGACTGGAGGGGGGAGCTGGGAGGGTGTTGGTCTCTTCTTCCAAGTAACAACCGATAGGACAGGACGAAATGGCCTCGGGTTGCACCAGGAGAGGTTTAGGTTGGATATTAAGAAAAATTTCTTTACCAAAAGGGTTGTCAAGCCTTGGACCAGGCTGCCCAGGGAAGTGGTTGAGTCCCCATCCCTGGAGGTATTTAAAAGCCGTGTCGATGTGGGGCTTAGAGACATGGTTTAGTGGTGGAATGGCAGTGTTAGGTTAACAGTTGGACTTGGTGATCTTAAAGGTCTTTTCCAACCTAAACGATTACAGAAGTTGTGACATCAGTTGCAAAACAAAGCTTGTCGGCCTCCGCATTGTGCATATAAGTGTGTTTTCCATGCAAAGCTGTAGTGCAATGTTCCTTTGGCCAAGAGATGTGATGGTGATAGTGCTGTAAGAACTCTAACTAACAACAGGCTGTTAACCAAACCCAGACATAACAGTTCTTCTTCTGACTTTATATTGTAACAGAGGGTGGTCCTGATGGATCCGAGTGAAGATCCAGATGACATCTTGCGAGCTAACAGATCCCGAGAAAAAACATTTGTATTTGACATGGTTTTTGATCATAGAGCAACCCAGGTAACATCCTTCCCTTTTTTTTTTTTTAACCAAAAGGCTTAAAATTAGAATTGGTTTCCCTGCTGAGATAAGTCTTTTTGGCTGGTGAGTAGAACTGCGCATCCCAGAGGCCACGTGTCACCCAGATAAGAGGCGACAGTGCTGAAGGTGAGAAAACCTGTGAGGGTTTTTTCCTTTTGTCAGAGAAGCGGGGAGATGTGCAGTATTCAGTCTGCCTCTCCCACCCACCTCGGGACTCCCCAGATGCAATGCACCTGAGCGGAGATGAAGAGCTCTGTCTCCCGAGGTCTCCGGTGAATGAGATCGTTGTCACGTTGCTTGGCTCCATCGCTCACACGCTTCCTCCCCGTGCCTCTCTGTGTGACAGGCTCATGAAGTGAGCTCTGGTGCCCTTATGGAGCTGTGTTTGCAGACAGATGTAAGCTGCAGCATGGGGATTTCATCAGCACCTGCATTTTGTGTCACCATGATGTGACTGCAGCCTTCCTTCTCGCAAGCAGTTCACTTGTCTGTTTTCTCTTTCACATGAAACTTCAGCGTAGCACCCTTGTATGCTACATGAGATGTTTTTGGAGGTCCACTGGCACTTCTCATTAAAGGATAAGGTCAGGGAGAGAATTTACTCCCTTCAGCAGACACAAAGAAAAAGCAAAGCTTCCATGTTCAGTGTCCAAGAAAGTTGAATTTAAGGACATTTATTTTAGTAAGCTCCTGCATCTTGCCTGCCGTTAGAAAATTCAATAAACCTCTGTGCTTTTCTGCTCATTTTGATGATGTGTCAGAATTCAAATGGTTCACGAATAGTTCCAAAGCCCAGGAAATTTGTAAAACATAGTGAGAAAACCATGGGAAATGCAATTAGGTATAGATTGTTTGGACAGATAGCTGTTATGCCTCACCAGAAGTTTATGCTTTTTTGACTGAATTAGGAGGAAGTATATGTGTCCACGACCAAAAGCCTGATAGGAGGAGTCATTTCTGGCTACAATGCAACCATTTTTGCATACGGTCCAACAGGTAAAGTAGTCCCCTGTATCTGTACTGCTCTAGGCAAGTAACATGTATCTGTACAAACCAGAAATGAACTATAATGCCAATTAATTGCTTACTGTTGAGGAGAAGACTGAAGCATTAAAATACCATTCTCATCAGGAAGCGTGGATCTTCCTTTAATGCTAAAGTAACAGGAAAGCTGCCCTGTTTGAGAAGTCACTTAATTGGGGTAGAATTCAGTGGAGACAAATCTTCCCATTAGTAAGGAGGAGGAGATGAGGGCATCTGTGCAACGCTGGAGACTGATCTCAAGAGAACAGGTACAGCTGTAGAAAGCGCCTATAGACCTCAGACTATATGAAAATATATTTCTACCCTAGCTCTGAACACCTCGGTGGGCAGTTAACCTACTTATCTCCCCATCTGCAAGTCTTCTTCCTACCCATTTCGGATGGCATGTGCCATGTCTTTCCCGTGGCAGCATCGTTGTGGGGTGAGAAATGGGAGGAACTGGAGGAAGTTTGGGGCCAAGGACAGAAATCAGAAGGAAACCAGGCTTTATTTGTCATGGAAGCTTGTTCACCTGGAAGTTGGTCTTTGCTGCTCTTCTTTGTGTCTTCAACAGGAGCGGGAAAAACCTACACAATGCTAGGGACGGACTGTGAACCAGGGATCTACATCTGTGCTCTTGATGACCTCTTTAAGGCCCTTGAAGCTACCACCGAGGAGATGGATTACAGAGTCTCCATGTCCTACCTGGAGGTGAAGTGTCTGTGTTGCTCTGGATCCAGGCTCTGTGGGAATTCAGCAAGCCCCTGGGAGCAGGCGTAATGGGAAGTGGGGTGTCTGAGTCTGTCTGTCCTGCAGCACTCCCCTTGGGTTGTACAGCTCGAATCTTCCCTTCCACTCCAAAGAAATACAGGATCTATTCAACCCTCCTTGCAGATCTAAGGACCCAATGCTAGTCTCACGCCAACCCCTCATTTCTTACCCTCAGATCTATAATGAAGTGATCCGTGACCTCCTGAACCCATCCTCGGGGTTCTTAGACCTGAGAGAGGACCCCAGAGGCAGCATCCAGATAGCAGGAATTACGGAAGTCTCCACTACAAATGCTCAGGAGGTACCTTGGGCTATGGTCCACGGTGAGGGGAAAGGGAGGGGCTTTGTGTTTTCATGCACCAGTGCTTTAAAATTTCTCCTATTGCCTGTGCCTTACTCAGTAGCAAGGACCTTTTGTAGCAGGACCTTGGTGGAACTCAATTGATGTGATGAATTTTATGGAAAGGGCTGATCATGGAGCCATGTGAGTGCTAGAAACCAGGCTAAAACCCCCAGCTTTGTGTACATGTGTGTCAACAAACCATTTGGAGAGGGCAAAGAAATAATGAAACCCCCTTGAGCTACACTGACGTGCACTTTTACATATGCCTTGGACATGAGATAAACAGGCCTTCCAGGAAAACAGCCCCAAACCCAACAAACCCACCCTTCCAAGGTCACAAGCCAAAGGGGGGGATCTGGGGAAAATCAACAGCTAGGGTGAGTGGGACCAGAGTTCAGCTGTGCCCTGGGTGAGGGGTTCGGCTTGCAGGGGACACCGCACTATGGCCCAGGCAGAGCTGTACACCTCTGCCTGCTTTTCTGCGTCATTTAGATCATGCAGCTGCTAATGAAGGGAAACAAGCAACGCACCCAGGAACCCTCTGCTGCCAACAAGGTGTCCTCCCGCTTGCACGCCGTGCTGCAGGTGACGGTGGCGCAGCAAAGCCGAAGGAAGGTGATCGGCGAGGAAGTGCGAATTGGGAAGCTTTTCATGGTCGACTTGGCAGGGTCGGAGAGAGCGGCCCAGGTACGGCTGGAGCTTGGCAGCTTTTGGTGGGACCAGGCTGGATTCCCTGCCCTGCCGTGCAGGGTCTGCACGCCTGTCCGCATCCCTGGGGAAACCAGCACTGTGTGTTTCTCTGTTGCTTTAGAGCAGTAGTTTGCACCTGAGACAGCCTGAAAATAAAGAAAAAGTTTGATGATATTGGCAATATCTTTTATTAGACCAACTAGTATAATCAGAAAAATGTAAACCAGCTCTTGGCTGTAGCCTTTCCTCAGGCCTGAAAAAGCAGCAGCGAACATCACATCTAAAGAGAAGCTGCGGTCTGATAGGCAGGGATCAGCTGGGCTGTCGGAGAGAAAGCTGGTACCAGTGGAATAGAGGGATGCTGGTGGGTGGAAAATAAGGCAGCTGGCTCTTAGGGGAAGGAGGAAAGGCTGGAAGTCAGGGAGGTGATTTGAGGGAGAGAGATTTCACATACCCGGTATTTCTACTGAGACCAGGATTTCTGGAGTGATGTTAGTTATGCATCTTAATTTCTGACATAATCTTTAGAAGATAATTAATAGCTGTCTTTTAAGAACCAGGAGGTCAAAGCTGGGTCATCTTTTCCAAGAAATGTGCTCCTACCAGCACCTCTGCACCTCAGAGCGGGGTTTAACCCCGTGCTTTCAGGTTGTTTTTGCAGGAGCCATTGCTTTGCCATCCAAACCTTGACCCCGGTGATGCGGCACATCCTCCCCAGGCGCAGACCCACCATTCTGAAGCGTGTGCTTTGTCTGTCTGTCTCCCCGCTGCCTCCCTCCCCTCCCAACAGACTCAGAAGCAGGGCAAGAGGATGAAGGAAGGAGCCCACATCAACCGCTCGCTGCTGGCTTTGGGCAACTGCATCAACGCTTTGAGTGAGAAGGGGGGGAGCCGGGCCCAGTTTGTCAATTTTCGAGACAGCAAACTCACGCGCCTGCTGAAGGTACTGTGCGCTGCGGGCAGCGAGGAGCTCGGCGTGTCTGTTGCTGGTATCACCGCTCACATCAGATAGGGCCTGAGAGCTGATCCTTGAATATCTCTGTGCATTGCCTTTATCCGGCTTGGAACGTTCCTCCAGGATCTTGTGTGAGCTTTGCAAGGCAATCAGGGCTTGACCTGAACAGCGCTGCCTCTATAATAAGCCTGTTGTCTTGTCATCTGTGCTGGTAAGGAAGGACCCCCCACAGGGTTAAGGAAATACTGGAGATTTGGGTCATATGTCTCTAAGATACAGGCGATAAGTGATTTTTATTTTTTTTTTTTTCCTTTTTTAATGAATTTACTGCCTTTGAATGTTTCATCTGTTCTATAAGATTTGGCTGAAATTTGCCAATAAATTTGGATAACATTAGGGCAGGAGGAAGAGAGATGGAGAGTGACTATGTGCCGTCATAAAGTCGTCTCTCCCTTAGGAAATCAGAAAGGTTGCAGGCAGGCTCTTTGCTGCACTGGTTGTTTTATGGATCCTTTACAACTTCATTTATGAACCTCACCTCAGGCCTTGGTGCTGGGCTACCACTGTCACTGCCTGACAGATGTGTTTTCTAGAGGACGGTGGGGAGGAGAAGGGATGGAGAAAAAAGTAGGCTTCTGTTGTGAGCAGCATTGAGAAGTTGCCAGCGTATTTGTGGAAAATTGCAATTTCCTTGCAAAAATTCTTCTTTTGTAGGAAGTTAATTACTTATTGATTTTGCTGTTGACAGAGAGAGGGCCTAATGAATGGTTTTTTGCCAGCACTTCCGTCACTCCTAATTGGGATTCTCCCCCGGAATCTCAATGAACCGCAGGGGCACCCAGCCACGGTGGTTACCACTGAGCAGTGAGCCCCTGTTGTGTCCATCCTAACCACGTTGATGTTGCATCCCTCTAGGACTCATTAGGGGGCAACAGCAGGACTGTTATGATCGCACACATCAGCCCAGCCAGTACCTCCTTTGAAGAATCTCGAATGACCTTGATCTACGCCTATCGAGCAAAGAACATCAAGACCCAGGTAAATGAGCAAACAACTCACAAGGAGGTGGGGGTTAGAGATTAAAAGCTTGTAAAGTGGAAATGGAAGAGGCAGTGGATGGAGGGAGAACACACTTCAGGAGGGGGCAGTGCAGGATGGTATAGAGGCTCAGTGTGGGTGACGGAAGAAAAGCAGATAAAGGGAACAGTGGAAAGCAAATTGTGTGGGTCATGGATGAGAAGAGGAATATGAGGGTCAAAACAATGGAAAGGCAGAGGATGACATGCCTGGTGTGAACCTGTGTGCAGAACATAAGGAATGACAGCCGAAAGGCGACTACTGGGAAGACAATGTATGGGGAATGCCCCAGCGGGGATGCTGGGCCTGGAAGAGGACCTGAGGGGCTGTGGAAAGGAGGAATAAAATGGGGAGGCTTGTGGGGTAAAGGAAGATGAACAGTGGTCTGCAACAGGGTTTTCACTCTTTGTGGATCTCTGTGTTTTCCCTGTGGGCATAGAGTCCCTGGCTTTTCTCTGTAATCTTTTGGGAATTTCCCAGAATGAGGGAAAACCCCTAATTTGCAGTTTCCCTGCTTATGAGGGAAAATTCTTCCCTGTCTCGGGATTCAGTCCCCCTCCAACTGAAAGTATAGCTTTGTTTGCAGCCATTGTACCTGTAACGGACAGTGGGACAAATGCTCATGTATTCTGGCTCCCCAGGTAAAATGTAACCTGCAGAACGTCTCCTACCACATCGACCAATACACCAGCATCATCGCAGACCTCCGCAGGGAGATCGAGTGTCTCAAGGCAAGGGTCGAAAACCAGGAGAAGGAGAAAAATGTGGTCAGCTCCAACCTTGGGGATCTGCAAGGTAGAGCCAGGAGCAAGAACTGCCCTGTGGTGGTATCTGGAGGGAAGAGAGCAGGGAGAGGAGCTGTGTGGACAGGTTGTGGCAGCGCTTGGTGGGCCTCCATGCAGATGTAGCTGGGGGGAGCTGGTTCACCGATGCCTGTAGAGAAGCAGAGGGGAGAACACAGTCTGATGGGCAGTGGAGGCGGGCAGGGGAGCTGAAGTTGTTTTTCTGCATAAGCCTGTTTCTGATGCACTCTGTGACTCTGGACAACACACTCAACCTTCTCAGCATCTTCCCCAGCATTAAAATGTGTTAAATTTCACAAACCTGCCCTTGAGAAGAGCTTTGACATTTGCTGTGGGAAGTCCTGACTCTCTCAGAGGGGTGACAGAGTTTGTAGCCTGCGTCACCACGGGCTCTGAGGCCGTGTCAGGACACGGAGCTCTGTTGTATGGTTTGTTGCACTTAATTAAAAAAAAAAAAAAAAGGAAAAATAGGAAGGGGGGCAGGGCGAAGCTTTTAAAACACTGATTGTTCTGCCTTGGGGATTGTTCCTTTTGTCAGTGAATCTGGCAAGGAATGAAATAAAAATAGTAAATCTCTCTGACAGACAAGATTCAAGGTGTAATAGGCCTCTGCTACCAATACCCAAGGTCATTTATAGATAACAAGCACAGAAAACCAATACCTTTTTCTTTTTGATGGGTGGAAAGGCGGAAGAGATGTCCCTGCAATGCAGTATCCTCTTAATACTCACAAAAGCAGTAGCAATGAGACCTGTTTATTGCTAATAGTACAATCATAAAGATATATCGGATTTCTTATGCACATGATTAACTCCAAGAGACTGCAGAATGAAGCGGAGTCCTATGAACAAACACCCTGTAGCACGGGGGCTGAGTCGCTTGCTCCCAGAGTAGTTCTGTGGGGGCTTGGCAGAAGTTCACCTGACCTAAGGTCAGATCAGAAATGTCTTCTCCTGCAGCAGAGAGGCACCAAGGCTCTGAGGCACACAGTGGCCAAGTACTCAACACCTTGCGAGTGCAGCTGATGGGGGCTTTCAGGGAGCAAATGGAGATGCAGCGCAGCCTGATGGAGCTGGAAAACACCAACACTGAGCTGCACGTTGATACCTGCAGGCACCTCCTAAAAATGACGGAGTGAGTATCTCCTGAGCTTTCAGCACGAGTTATACGTGGACCTCCAAACTCACCATGAGATATGCCTACAACCCACAGTCCCCCCAACAATAAATGACAAAAGGATGAGGTCAAGTGTAGATCTGAGATTTACCTACATGACAAGGAAAAACTTGGGAGGGTGGTGGTCTGCAAAAGGTGCTCAGGGATTTAAGGTAGATTAAGTCCATGTGACTCTGAGCTTTATATTAAGGTGCTATAGTTGCAATGGGTGATTTCTGCTATTGAGAAACACATCCCTAATCCCTCCTGGTGCTTGTAAGGAGACTGCAGCCTGCACGTGGTGCTGCACTGCAGTGCAATTGCCTGATGTAGCTCTGTAAGGCAACCCACTACCTCTAGCATCAAGTTTAAGCTCAAGACTAAAAGTGTAAGTGGTAGATGCCTCACCTCTATTTGGAACTTATTCTGGACTTGTGTTTTAATGGAAAAACTGGATGGCAGTGCAGACCGGGATTGTTGGTCCTTCCGTGGTCCAGTCACTCTGTGTTGGTGGTTTCCATCCAGATGCACTGCATCTGGGCATGATTTCATGTCAGAGAGAGCAGCACCATCCCTTTCTTCTCCATAAACTGTAAGTAGGTGTTGGTTCCCTCTCGTTATCGCTGGTCACCCACCTAATGCCTCTGTATATAGACCCTTAGGATTTGGGCCATTTGTAGTTAAAACCGTCTTCAGGGCATTAAAGGTATTCAGCAGGTACCCATGAATATGCAACAATTTCTGATGAGGTGAGGAAAAGCACTGTTCTGGGAAGATGACATATGCGGCCTGTTGTATAGACGATTTCTGATGAGGTGAGGAAAAGCACTGTTCTCCTCGTCATGGGAAGATGACATATGCGGCCTGTTGTATAGACTTCCAGATGGGAGGAAGCTAATTGTGCTCTTCTGCATGGTTTGTCCAGCTCCACAGCAGCCTGGAGTAATTAGTTCTGCTGCTATCATGCAAGAAGTTAGACAGACACAATGAAGGGCTATGCATGTGTTGTTAGACTTATGTCACCCTGTCCCAGAAGTTCCTTTCTTTTTTTTCTGGCAGCTGGGAACAAGAGAGAGCTCAGGGTGCACACAAGTGTGACAAGCCCTCAAAGGAGCAGAAAGATGAAAACACAGAGGAGGAAGACGGGGAAGTGGATATCATAGATTCACCCAAACCTCGTGAAGTTCCAGTAGCAAGAGAAGAGGTCAACCTGCTGCTGGCCGAGCAGGGCAAGATGGCAGCCCTGAAGGTGAGGAGATGGAGTTGCCCTTATGGTCGCAAGTCTGAGCTCTGCCTAGCGGGTGCTTGGGGGCAGGATGGCAGCAGTGTAACTCAGAGGTTCTTGTGGTTTGGGGCTAGCTCCCCAAAAGCAGGGTGGCACCTGTATTGCAGCTGGACTACTAAATGCTTTGGGCTGCTGAAGGAAGCAGCATGGGAATATTGATGTTTGCATCCTGCCCCTGTGGTTTTTAGGACAAGGAAAAATTACAAACCTACCGTCTGGGCTTGCCCATGCATAAGTCTTTGACACAGTCTCCCATAGCATTCTCCTGGAGAAGCTGGCAGTTCATGGCCTAGATGGATGTACTCTTTGCTGGGTTAAAAACTGGCTGGATGGCTGAGCCCAGAGAGTTGTGGTGAATGAAGCTAAATCCAGTTGGCAGCTGGTCACAAGCGGTGTACCCCAGGGCTCAGTTCTAGGGCCAGTCTTGTTTAATATCTTTATCAATGACCTGGATGAGGGGATTGAGTGTGCCCTCAGTAAATTTGCAGATGACACCAAACTGGGTGGTAGTGTTGATCTGCTTGAGGGGAGGAGGGCTCTGCAGAGA